CGGTCCGGCCTGCACCCTCCTCTGCGGGGTGCAGCTGCTCTCTCCCTCGCTGGGTTAAGGTGGCTGGGTGTGTTTTTTCTGGGAAGGTGATCAGGACTTCTATCTTGCTGATGGCTTTCCTCAGACTTAGCCTAGCTCTTGATTTTCTTCCAAAAATATTTATGGTGTCTAGGACAAAAAGGAAGAACAAAGCACTCAAGCTTAATTATTCTCTTTAATGTACGGATGTGAGCAAAATGCTCCCAAAGAAGCACAAATATCATTGACCAGTATAAAGAGAAATCCTTCTGTCATCCCAGCTGATTCAGTTCCTTTAATTAGCAGCATTACCTCTTCACAATTTTTACCTTTTCTGTATCCTTAGAGCACCACAGTGATAACATTACTTCTGTAGGTGGAATTTCTCCCATTCCCTGGGTCTTTTTATACAAGGACCTTTATAATACAGCTATGTGGAGCCCGTTCCCACTCCTCTGGAATCCAGCAGGGACTTTCTGACTTCAGTGCTAACAAAATCTCGCACATTGCTTTATTTTTCCCACTGTTAAATCCTTTCGTCAGCTACTAAAGCTCAAAATGCTGTGGTTGAGCGGTGTCCTTGTAGCTGGCGCTACAGGTGGTTGTGGTCCGTGACTTCGGCGGCTCTGCGATGACGCTCCGGAACTCGCTCGCCCTGTTGTTCCGCAGCATCGTCGCGTCCTGCCTTTGGTTGGGTGGAGGCGATTCCTCCGAAGTTCTGGGCAAATGACCCGTATGGCCTGCAGCCATGCCTTGAGCTCCGGAGGAGGCAATAAAGAACTGAGGTTGTGGTTTGGGTATTCTTGTCTTTTTCTAATAGTATGTCAGAAAGAAAATGTCAACTGCAGTGTCTTCCCTAGAAGTAAGCCCCTTCAGTCCCTTTTGGCAGACTGTGGTTCCCTTGGGTATTGTTTTGGTTGTTTATTCCTCAGATTTCCATCCTAGTATCTGTTCTTGTGCATCAGGCTGCATAGCAACTTCCGTGGATGGCAGATTGTCGACTAAGCTGCACTTGTTAGAAGAGCGAATTGGGGATTGTATTGTGCCGTTAGGCTATAGGATATCTCAGAGGCCTTTTAAAGCATCAGAGCTGAGGTGTCAGGAGTATGAGGGGACACCGAGAATTACAGGAGCCTGTTTGTGCTGGGACACAAGCATAGAGGACTGAGCCACGTGAGCACAGGGAGTAGTGCCTTCATTGCCTCTGTAACCAAGCAGCAGGCAGGTTTGGCTTTTGTGAAGGATGTATTGGAAATCTGAGTATTTTTGCTTCCCGACAGCTATTGTTTGAACTGTCTAGTGTGATTCTGGAGATGCACACTCTCCTCCTACTTCTTTCCATGCACAACAGAGCTGCAGTCAGAATTCATAGTAACTGTCTGACAGAGATCTGTAGAACATCAGAATTTGCCTGATGGATCAGTTTGCAGCAATTTCTAGTCTTTTCTGGGAAAGCCATTCTAGTGGAGAATACAGGAGTATGACGGAGGGGTGCATGTGTTTGTGGAGATATACAGGTGTGGGAATCATTCCCAGCCTGAATGGGGAATACCTGATCAAAACATAGGTGTGACAGTATGACAGGCAAGCCAATGGAGGAGGACTTGGAAGGCTGGGCGTATCTGATGCCATGTGGGCAGGACACAGGGGAACGGAGGGGAGGGGAGCTGATAATCTTTTGGTTTTGTCAGATTGACTACTTAACCACCTTGAGTCCAGGAGTGTTGCTCTTCACCGTGCCTTAGGTGGTCAGAGCGCATCAGACTGGCAAATGCGGTGTTGCTTTCCAGAAGCGTGCTGATGCTTGGGTGCTCAGCTCTGGAGAAAAGTCATAGCAAACCTTACGTTTTATTGAGAGACTTATTAGCTCATTTTCTTCGGTTGTGAGATATAATCAAAATAATTTCCTCTCCTGCTGTCCGCGTTATGTTTTCCTATCCCTGCAGAAAGAGAAGCGAAGGATTGAAGTGGGGAAGTGGCTTGCCCTGGTTTCACAATATAACTGTTAACAGAGCTTTTGGTTGAATCAGAATCTCCTGGTCTTTGTGCTTTGATCACAGAAAACCTTCCCCATCCCAGATAGATTAGGGTTCCCAAATCTTTTCGTGGTGTGGGCTATGCCCATCTCTTTCAACCGCCTCATCACAGCCCACAGGTATCGTTACTGTGGTATCTCTGACGCCTATAAAGCAACAAGGTCTGCACAGGGATGGCTGGCATCTCGTATCAGGTACGAGTGGGGAGGAAAGCCTCAATCATGTGTCAATACAGACTTCGGTAAACCGGCAGCCGTTAGCGTAGTGTTCCTTACCACGCAGACCGTGGGGAGTGAGTGAGTGTAGTTAAAGACCAGCCATCTCTGTATTTCCAGCCTGGGGCCTTTCCACACTGCGTGTAATGCATTAGCGAGAGCTCTGTATAAGGAAGAGTCATCCAGCGACTGATGAAAGAGTGCTGCAATTGTCTAAAAAAAGGAAAGAGCGGTGAAACCACACACCTGCTCCCGTGCAACACTAATTACACCCTTGTGCCTTGTGAACAAGGTGAGCGCTATTCTTGGCTGGACCTGGCTGCCTTCTGGAAGCGACTGCCTCCCTTTCCCCTTGCAACATTACACCGAGAAATGTTCAGACAACCCCCGATATTTTGGGATCTCAAATGATCAGATGATACTTAAGAGCGGCAGGAGCATAGCGTGGGCGTGAGGGAATGGGTGATAGTTTTGAAAGCTTCTTGTAATTCATCCCAGATGCCAATGGGAAGAGGAACACAGAAGGTTGAGTACGAAGAGCTGCCCTGGGGCAGAGGTGTTGGGACTGGTGGTGCTCACACCAGGTTTTGGCAGAGTTGTGCTTGAAGGAAGCTTCCTGGCATGGCCTTGTGGGGAAGTACCCAGTCTGCTCGCAGTGGTTAATGACACAGCCTGACACGGGCTGGCAGGGGACTGGGTGGGTGCAGAGAAGCACAGACAGCTCTGGCAAGGGAAACAGTGAGTTTATTGTAATCCGAGGCTGCTCCGGAGGAACATGCTGCAGAAGCCTGTCTATTAGTCGGACTTGTTTCCTCATAACAGTTTCATTCTCTTCCTCTCTCCTCCTCCTCCCCTTTACATCTGGATGTATCCTTGGACAATGCCAGAGCCTGTAAATGTGATGTCATTTGGATTTTATTTTGTTTTGTTCCTTGCAGTTAATAGGTAGGAGCTAATGCAGCCCTTCTCTCCTAGTGCGAACAGAGGAGAGCGTTTGGCAGCCAGGCGTGGGGAAGATCCCGAGACAGAGCCCGATCCCCTTGAACGGAGATCTCATTCATGCTCCAGCCATAGCAATTTAATTTGTACACTAACAGAGTTAGCACTGAGCAGCCCTTTGCATCTGCCACAAAATGGCCATTTGTGTTTGTGTGCAGACATGTTTTCCTAGTTCATATCGACAGTTTATTCAGTAATTGTCAGGTATGACCGTCTCCGGCTCCCTGTGCCACTTGGGCCTGTTGCCCTTTGCTTCCTCTGGTCTGAGGAGCGGGGGGGGGGGGGAGAGGCAGGGCAGCATCAACAGCATTTGCTGGTGTTTCTGCACGGTAGCAAGAATGAATCCCAGGGGCCAACTGGGAAAGCAAGTCAGGTGAGGTTTACAAGGTAGGGATAAGACAAAAATCAGAGGCCCAACCATGCTGTTGGATCTGGGCAGGTAGACTTATTTTCCTGCTTTGTAGGCTTGGTGAAACCAAGGAGGAACTGCCAGGGCATAGGTTATACGGGAGATATATGGGAGAGCTTTTATGTACACTTGGCTGGGATGTAAAACAAGGGTCTCCTTCCCTGTGTTTCTAACCGTGGCCCTGATTTGCTATAACTAAGGAACGAACACCTGGTAATAGATATTGGCAGGATTGAGCCTTAGGTACCAACTCAAGCAGAAATGGAGAGGTGGCATTTCTTTGCTTCCACTTTTTCTGCCTCTTTTTGTCTCACTGGACCTGTGAAATAAACCTAGCAGGTGTCTGTGTCAGTATCTGGATCTTATGCCCCAGCTCAAGGCAGCTGTGCTTTGAGTGTGGGATGCTGCAGGAGTTTTTCTTGGGTAAAGTGCAGAAATGCAGAATCAAATAAAAGGTTCTCTTTGGATTGTATTTTGTAAAAGTTGTCCTCCTTAATGGAAAAAAAAAATTACATGACAAATACTCAGAATAAAGTTATGTAAAACTTAGCCAAAAGAATTTGGTGTTTGTCGTCTTTTTTTTTTTTTTTAAGTGTCTATTTTTGTTCTGTCTCTTTTGCAAAATGCTGTTAGGAGCTGAGCACTAAACACACTGCTCTTTCTCCCCTTACCTGCATGATTCTTTTGTTTAGAAAACTCTAGATTCCTTCTGCTCCTTGCCCATGTGCAGCCTGTAGCTGAGACATTTGTCTAGCAAGCTGTCCTCAGCTCGTGGATCCACACAGCAGAAGCAGCAACCCCCCTGTGCAGAGCAGGGAGCAGATACTTCTTCTGTATCCTAGCGGTGTCTGTCCCACAGGGCTTTGCCAGTAGTTTCAGTGGGCCTTAGAAGCTTCGAGTGTTTTTTTAGGGAACTGTAGATGTGGGACTGACTGCCCTTTCCTTTTGCTCCTTACTAACAAGCGATAGCCATGAGGCTTTTATTACACTTCTTATCAATGAATCTGTCCTCCTTTCTTAGGTTCTACGAACAGATTGAACATTGGCACTGGGAATTTGGATAGTTCAGCCCAAAGGGCTGTTTATACTGTTTATTCCTGACAAATTACTTAATACAAAAAACTGGGTCTTCCTGTGGAAGTTTGCAGTGTGTTTCAAGGTTCTGCACTCTGTTGGAGAACTTGGGAGAACAATGTCTCCATCAGGTGTGAGACTTGTGTGAGCACGGCGAGAAAAGAGCAATCACACGTTTAAACTGTTAACCTGTATTTTTATGAACAGGATTCATCCATGGTCCCAGAAGGCTTCTGGGAGAGGGATTATTCCTGATACTGTTGCATGGTAATTTCTATCTACATTTCTTGCAGTGTTGCTTAAATGCTGTTCACTTGCATCTATAGGAGCTGTGGCTCAGTTATCTTCCCCCTGTGATTTACAGTCTATAAACAACTGGCTGCAGTTACACTTTATACTTCTAGGGTTTTTTGAACTTAAAATGACATTGTTATTAGTGAGACAACATTTAGATAGATGCAAAACAAAGGAGCCCCTAAGTACCTTGTGCCAGGGAGGGAGAGAAAAAGTGGCTCGTCGACAGCATCCGTTTCCATTCAGAGATGGTTCAGGGTCCCGAGGGTCCCAAAGCCGAGGGCCCCTGGCTCCGTGCGTGTGCACATCTGAGAGATGCACGGCGCTGGCTGTGAGAGTCGGCCCTAAAACCCAAGATGCTGAGGCCAGCGTGTGCCCAGCTGTGCTCCTACCTTTATTATAAATCAGGACAACATATGCAAATGAAAGACGCTAATGATTTAGTAAGGGTCTAGCTGGGGCTAGTGTCTCTTCTCAGGGGTTGTGATCTGTTAAAAGTCAGTGTTTGGAGCTGCACAGGGAGGTCTGCAGGCGGTAACGTGTCCCTGCTTCCAGAGCCATCCCGCGACGCGAGCTGCTCTGCCGGACCCCTGCGTCTGGCGCCTGTCGGCAGAGCAGGGGAGCTGAGCTCTGGGTCTGTTTGTGGGGGGAGGACCGTGGCTAGGACAGGAAGAGGGTGACAGCTTTAGCTGTTTGTTTTTCCTGGTAGGAAGGAGGTTAAGTTCCTGATCTGTGTTAAGCTGTGCTGAGTGGGGAAGGTAAGTCTCAGTTGCTGGGACTCAAGTCACTGGTCGTCAGCATAAGGGTGCAAAAGCCCTTGCATGCTAGGTGAGAAGAGATCGTGACTAATTCCTGAGACCTCTTTCCTGTGTACCAGGACTAAGATGCAGTCTAGGTTAAGAGCACAACCCATTACAGTCCTTCTCCACCCATTTTCTTTGTCTCAACAGTATGTGAATGAGAGTGCCATAAAAACACACATAGGTCTCAGGGCTTTGGTGGTTTTAAGCTGCAGCAACATGAGGGGATTCTCTCGCATCCTACTTTTACCTGGATCTGGGTTGCAAATTACCATCACTATGGTGATATTTTCATAATTAACCCCAGGGGCAGTGGATAAGAAGAACAAACCCAGTTCCTTGCAGAGGAATTAACTGTGCAAGAGCATTCACAGAGTGAGCCTGACAGGTGAGCCCTGCTGAAGGCTGCAGTCACTTTGGTCTGGGGTCTGGCTGTGGAAGGGAGCTTGCACCACCCGCAGATGCCCTAGGCTGCAGGTACCCGAGGGGGCTGAGAGGAAAGTAAGGGAAGCTTGAAAGCTGGTGGATTGTCAGAGGTGTCAGAAAGACTCTGTGTTCTCTGGAACAGGAAAAACAACTCATGCCACTGGAATACCCGGCAGCCACGGGTGAGGTCAGGCTGTGTGCCCCTGTGCTACCTGCCGCTGGTTTTCAGACTTGTGCAGAGGGAGGTAGAATGGCAGGGCCCCAGCCTTCAAATTCCTCTTGTCTCGGCCCCAGAAGCTTCCCGTTTAAGCCATGCTGATTGCGGGCTGATTGATGTAGGAAGTTCTCTTCACTTAATCCACCCATGTGCAGTCCCTGCCCAGCCAATGTCACTTACTGAGTGAGTGCTCTGCAGTCAGGAGGTTCTTCTCCTTTGGGATGGCTAATTCCTGGGTCACATCCCATTTCCCCAGTGAACACAGAAGTTTTATCGCCACTGTTTCATATGCTGCACTGAAGTCAATTCTGTCTTAGCCAATCTGTGCTGCAGAGTTCCCTTAGCTTCGTATGTTGTGCCTTCACTGTCTCTCTGCTGTCTGCAGTAGCATAGTAAATTAGTCCAAAGCGAACTGAGTTTATAAGCCTATGCAATATTAGAAGTCCTGTTTTAAAAAGACCTTTGAACATGTTTGTCAGAGCTGTACAAAGCCTATAAAACCCCTGCCCCAAACATGCATTAGTAAGTCATTTGTTCTCAGAGGCTCAAAATTGCTGAAAAGGTTTGGTATTTCCAAATGAAGTCTCAGATCTTACTGGTTTTGCCTTAATTTTGCTACCTAAGACAGTAGCTATTCTTATCCCCTTAGCATATGCTGGGCTGCCCACCTCCAAAAGCATGAACACAGGAAGAAAGATAAGAACAATTCTAGTCTGGTCGTTCCTCCTTTGTCTTGTCGGGGAGCAGCCGGGCTGTGCTGCTTTGGAGGAAGCTACTGGTCTTTTACATTGTTAGACAGAAGAACAGAGGAGGTGATAAGTGGTGAGACAGGAACACAGCTTGGTACCCCTTCATGTAAGTCTATGAAGTCGTAAAGCACCATTATCCAGGTGGGACCACTCTGAGTATTGTATGGGAAGGACAGATTCCAACAGCAGGTGCATCATCTTCAGGGCTGCCAGTAAGTGTCTGTTTTTAATTGGGAAATTTCCAAGAAAGGTGCTGTACTAGCAGGTAAGAAGTGCGTGAAATGCATGTATTGCCTACTACTGATACCTGCTTTATTTTTGTCCCTTCACAGAGTGATCGTCTCCTTATTAAAGGAGGGAGAATAGTCAACGATGACCAGTCGTTCTATGCTGATATTTACATGGAAGATGGTCTCATAAAGTAAGCAAGCATGAGATTTACATAGCGTATTATCTCCATCTCACGTTAACTCAGCTTCAGATTGGACGGTTATTGGCTTTTTTGTGGATGTGGTCTGTACCCAACTTGCCAACTGGTAAAACTTCATAGTTTTACCTAGCCCACTCTGATTAGAGGCTCAGCTCTCTGCAATGTGTGTGGGCACGTATATGATTGCGTGACATGTTTATACAGTAATTCTAGTGACTGAATGGCAGTTAGGCTGGGGATTTCATGACACAACATCCATTGTACAGCAAAGTTGTGTCTAATTGCACCAGGAACAAAATTTATCTTTGGCTGCTGTTTTGCCCCAGGTTAACAGTGTCAGCAGGGAT